CCCTAGACCCTAAACCCTAAACCCTAAACCCTAAACCGTGGGTCGGGACCCTGGGCTCCAGGGGTTTAGGAGTGTAGGGTTCGGGTTTCACTGTGCCCTGAAACTGTAAACCCTGCAATTACCCTAAACCCCCTAAACCCCAAACCCTCTGATTAAAACCCTAAAACCCCCTAAACCCTATAATTACCCTAAACCCTAAACCCCCTAAACCCTAAGCCCCATAAACCACAAGCCCTACCCGCGAAGAGGCCCGGGCGTTATTTTCCTTCCGGCGAGCTGGCGAGTGGGAGCCTTACCTGGGAACCACACACGCCGGTTGGAGACCATGAACGTGCAACTTTCTGGTCCTTCGAGCTGATAGATAGGGGGTTTAGGGTTTAGGGTTTAGGGTTTAGGGTTTAGGGTTCAGGGTTCAGGGTTTAGGTTTTAGGGTCTAGGGTCTCGGGTTGAGATGCGGGGTGCCAAGAATCGTCCACTCCGTCGCTCCCGCGAAGCCTCCAAGTTTTTCGCTCCCAGCCCTGCGCCTTCCAAACCCCCGTGCGCACGGGGGCGTTTCTCTAAATACATACATACATAAATACATCTGTATTTACATACATAAATAATGTATATATATATATAACAAAAATAGTAATGCTAATCATAAATACATCTGTATTTCTATATATATATATATATATATATAAATAGTAATGCTGATCATAGCAATTCAAGAACAATAACATTTATGGCCCCTTCCTTAAGGCACCTTACATATTAGGGGGGCCGTAGTATGCCAGGGACCCCCCCCCCCCAAAAAAAAAAAAGACCATCCTTTAGAGAACTGACCACATTGGGTGCTGTGCTAAGTAGGGTTTAGGGTTTAGGGTCTAGGGTTCCAAAGGGACGCCGCCACTCTTTGTGAACAGCCGCCCATGTGGTCGCCCAAGACCTTGAACCCCGAGCCAAGCCCCGAAGCCTTCTCCCTCAACCTAAACCCTAACTAAACCCTAAACCCTAAACCCTAAGCCCTAAACCCCAAACCCGAGAAATTCTAAAGCCCCACTAGTCCCTGAACCGCTAAACTCGCTAACCCCTCAATCCAAACACACCCTGAACCCAGACCCTAAACCCCTAAACCTTAAACCCTAAAACCATAACGCCAAACCCCCAAGCCCGAAAACTCCTAAGACCCTAAAACCCCCAAACCCGAAAACCCCTAAACCCCCAAAACCCTAAAACCCCTAAAACCCCTAAAACCCCTAAAACCCCTAAAACCCCTAAAACCCCTAAAACCCCTAAAACCCCTAAAACCCCTAAAACCCCTAAAACCCCTAAAACCCCTCAACCCTACACCCCTAACCCTAAAACCCCCTAAACCCAGGTCATCCGGGGAGGTGGTGGTCTCCTCGAATGCGCTCGCGGCGACGGTGTTGCCCTCTGCGCCCGTCGCGCCCTCGCCGCCCGCTGCGCCATCGCCCGTGGCGTCCCCGCCCGCGGCAGCGGAGGTGGGGGGCATTTCGGGTCCAGGGATTAGGGTGTAGGAAAGTCCAGGGCTTAGGTGGATCGAGGGTTTATATAGGATTTCGGAGTTAGAGTTTGGAGTTTCGGGGGCAATTGGGCACGTTTGGGACTGCGTAGGGAGTTTGCGTTGATCAGGGGTTGAGGGCTCAAGGCTGGATTTGTTTCGGGTTTAGGGTTTAGGGTTTAGGGTTTAGGGTTTAGGGTTTAGGGTTTAGGGTTTAGGGTTTAGGGTTTAGGGTTTAGGACTTAGAGTTTAGGGTATTCATCTTGCTGGGCTTGGACTTAGCACGCGTTGAGGACCACGCAGCTGGGGCTTTCTTGTGAGGCTTTGACAAACCCTAAACCCTAAACCCTAAACCCTAAACCCTAAACCCTAAACCCTAAACCCTAAGCCCTAAACCCTCGAGTTGCCTTCAGCTCAATGGTGCTAGGCAACCCCCTCCTCCGCGATATCTGTCATCGAGGAGGACAGGGAGGATGCCGAGGTGGCCCTGTATACTTAGGGTTTAGGGTTTAGGGTTTAGGGTTTAGGGTTTAGGGTTTAGGGTTACCCGAACCCTACACTCCTAAACCCCTGGAGCCCAGGGTCCCGACCCACGGTTTAGGGTTTAGGGTTTAGGGTTTAGGGTTTAGGGTTTAGGGTTTAGGGTTCCCGAACCCTACACTCCTAAACCCCTGGAGCCCAGGGTCCCGACCCACGGTTTAGGGTTTAGGGTTTAGGGTTTAGGGTTTAGGGTTTCGGGTTTAGGGTTTCGGGTTTAGAGTTTAGGGTTTAAGGTTTTGGGTTTAGGGTTTAGGGTTTAGGGTTTGGGAGGCTTTTGGGAGGCGGGAGTTTGTGGCCCTGAAGGCCCGACATTTTTCTGCACCCCGAAAGCCCTAAAGCTGTGGGAGGAGTTGATTCCCAGCTTCCCCCCACAGCCGGCAGAGGGTTGAGGGTTTATAGGGTTTCGGGTTGAGAGTTTACGGCTTCGGGCTCAGGGTTTAGGAATCCTTTTCTTGTGGGAGGAATTTTGGCACCCGACAACCCGGAGGATCCTCTTCTTCCGTATTTCGGGTTTCTAGCCACCATGGGAAACAGCTCTTCAGGCCCCTACGCCTTCAGAAAGCCCTGAGCTTATGTGAGTCAAGGAGCCCGGGCCCAGAAGTCCTCAATGGCAACCCCATCAGCCCCTTCGCAGGCCCCCATCGTTGTCCGCTCCATACCTCATCTGCCCCAAACCGCAAACCCTAAACCCCAAACCCTAAACCCTAAACCCCAAACCCAAAACCCCAAACCCCAAACCCCAAACCCCAAACCCTAAACCCTAAACCCCAAACCCTAAACCCTAAACCCCAAACCCTAAACCCCAAACCGTTTCACTCACAAGCCAGGTAGGAGCGCAGCCAGGCTCCCGCGGAGGTTTTTGGGATTTCTGGGCTGTGGGGGGGCATCGGGGGCCTTAGAAGGTTTAGGGTTTAGGGTTTAGGGTTTAGGGTTCAGGGTTCAGGATTTAGGGTTTAGGGTTTAGGGTTTAGGGTTCAGGATTTAGGGTTTAGGGTTTCGGGTTTACGTCGTTTTCAGGTTTGGGTCACATCTCTGGGTCATGGGTACTGGGATTTGGTAGGCGTACGTGCAGGGAGCGAAGGTGGAGTTGTAGGCATTTTGGGTAGAGTTGAATAAGGGTCTAGGCTCCGTGTATGCCTGTTTCGAGTTTCCCAGCCCAGCTTGGCTGTTACAGGTAGCTGCAGGTAGCTAGTCTCTTAGGAACCCTAAACCCTAAACCCTAAACCCTAAACCCTAAACCCTAAACCCTAAACCCTAAACCCTAAACCCTAAACCCTAAACCCTAAACCCTAAACCCTAAACGACCTGCAAAGGACGAACTTAATCTGATCATGGCGTCGGTGGGCCCTGTGGACTGCGCCCGATGTCATCCTCAGAAATAGACCCTTGGGATTTAGGCTCCCCCTGAAAGACCCTGAGAGTAAAAGCTCAAAAACCCCCTGTTTTAGAACTTTCAGGGTCCGAAAACTCAAAGAAAAAGGTGGCTTTGAACTTTCAGTCGAAAACCTGCACGTCAAAGCCACCCGCCGCTGTTGGGCTGGCTTAGGGTTTAGGGTTTAGGGTTTAGGGTTCAGGGTTCAGGGTTCAGGGTTTAGGGTTTAGGGTTTAGGATTCAGGGTAGGCCTGGCAGGACACTCATCTGCCCTGAACCTGTGGCTAAAGGTCCACAAAGGCCCATGAACCCTAAACCCTAAAGCCTTAATCCAAGGCAACGCTCACCCTGAGACATTGGTGGTTTAACAAAGTTTGCATTCCTCGTGCGGTCGCGGCTTTAAGACCTTCCTCAACCCACTTGAAGCACCGAACCCTAACCAGCCTATAGCCGGACCCTCCCCCTACATGAATCCAAAACCTTTTTAAACCCTAGATCCTAAACCCCAACCCCAATTAATCCTACCAGCCCAAAACCATGAGAGCCCTCCAAGCCCCCAAACCCTTAAGAGCCTTAAACCCCCAACCCTAACCCTAAGCCCTAAACCCTAAAACCCTAAACCCTAAACCCTAAACCCTGAACCCTGAACCCCAAACCCTAAACCCTAGACCCTACACCCTAAACCCTAAACCCCCTAAAACCCTTCAAGCCTTCAAAGCCGGCAACCCAAACTCCGCAGTGACAGGCCTCGAGGAGGCCCAGCCCGCTCAGGACCCTCCGCACGCCTCGGGCTTGGTGTAGGGTTTAGGGTTTAGGGTTTAGGGTTTGAGATTCCACTACAAACCCTCTGCATCCATAAGCCGGAAGATAGGCTCTACACATATGCCCAAAGCGCCCGAGCATTTTGCATCCTGCACCCGGAGCCCGGAAGCCCCACGAAGCACAATAAAACACAGCAAAGCCTCAAACACCAGGAGGAGGAAGAGGAAGAGGAAGAGGAGGACACCGAGGCTGAGGAGGACTGCTGGGACACCCTTTCGGGCCTCGTGGTGATTTCGGGCCGTGAAGTTGTTGGGGCATCACTCGAGTGCGCGGGCTTAGGGGTTCCAGACACTGAATCCTACAACCCCGAGCTCCAAACCCGAAACGCAGGGTGAGAGAGCTGTTTAGGAGGCTGGGAGTTCGGTTTGGGGCAGCTGCACAATCGAAGCATGCCCTTGGGGGTGTTCAGGGTTAGTGAGGCCTTGAAAGCCAAAACGGGTATTTCTCAAATCCTGATACCCCAACACCTTAAACACCAACAGCTCTCACTCGACCCGAAAAGACCTTCCCCCCCCCCCCCGCCCTTCCTCCCAAACGAGAACCACAAGCTTCCGCCTCCTCGCCCTGGAAGCATGAACAAAAGCGGCTCCGGGAGCCAAATGCCCCTGAATGAAGGACATGCGCCTAGCTAGTATAGAATGATCTCATTTTATGACATACGCAAACCCCTAAACCCTAGACCCGGTACTGTATTCTTTAATGAGGGGCAAGGGGGGGGCTCTTTATGGCTCTGTGGACCCAGCCGCAACACGTGGCCAGATGCCGCCGGATACGTCACAGCCCGCGGAGCCCAGTGCAGGCTGGCTGCCCCTGAACCCTTCAACCCTCAACCCTAAACCCTAAACCCCTTTAACCCTCAAACCCTCGAAGCTCTGAAGCTCCGAACGCCCAAGCCCCTAAACCCGTAAGCCCCCAAATCCTACACCCCTAAACCCCTCACTCAATCCGTGTAAGTAAGGCTAAGGCTGAGGATTGAAGACGCTTCTTTAGGCAAATCCTGCACGCGCTGCTACTTTGTGCTAATGCATGGTGAGCGAGTCGCAGGCGCTGGAGGCGTTGATGAGGAGATCAGTATCATTGAAGCTGGGTGGCACTAAACCGAGCTCTCATGCTATGGCCTGCAAATGGGGCTCATTGCTTGTTTTCGGCCTGACAGTCTTGTCAGCCCGGGCGTTTCATTCAGAATGAAGGGATGGCGGGTAAGTAGAAGCCGCACTGCTTTTGAAACCAAGGAAGATGATGATGACCTTCCTGCCAACGCGAGCCAGGAGCTTCAGGTTGATACAAACAGGGCTGCGTCGAGCAATTGAGGTAGCAAAGGTTGGCTTTAGGGTTTGGGGTTTGGGGTTTAGGGTTTAGGGTTTAGGGTTTAGGGTTTAGGGTTTAGTTTGGGTGTAAGGGTTTAGGGTTTAGGGATCCGTGATGAGATGGCTTTCCATGTACCAAGTGGACTCGCGACCGTTTCCGATTTCAACAGCATGTCTATCGTTGGCTTACTAGGTAGGCCCTTGGGACATTATATATTTTTCTCTTATTGCGTTTAAGAGGATCATATTCAGGAATATTTTTCAGAGGGGTTTAAGGGCCATCCTAGCTTATATACGACTGGTATAGAAGAGCACGGCAGTAAGCTGCGATGGTGCTTTCTGCACGCTTCAGGCACGGAGAGACACGCGCCAGCATCCGAAATCCCTAAACCTGGAAGACCCCCAACTCCATCCAACCCCCCACCACCGAAGAAAAGATGCCAGAGTCCTAAGGGACTTCTAAGTGAACTCCCCAACCTCCCAGCAACTCCCCAGAAGTCCGAGAGGTTTGAACCTTTCTGCCTGCCCAGGCGCCACGCCTGCGCCTCGGCCGACACCGTCGGTCACAGCGAAGTGGGGGCCTGGGATTTTGGGTGCTGAAAGGTTTCGTGTTCGAGGGTTGAGTCAGCTAGTCTTGAAGGCTGTAAGGGGTTAAGGCTTGAGGGTGTTTTAGGGTTTTTTTTTGTGCAGTTTGATGCAGATGGCGATGGTTCTACCCCAGGTTATGTGAAGGGCTGTGAGAACCGTTGACTGTTCCGATGTCCATAGGTGTTTCCCACAACATACATCCACCCCAGTGAAATCCAAGACGTAAAATCTAAACTCTCCATCCCCCAACCCCCGCATCCCAAACAACCCAACTTCCCCAACCCCCTCCGCTGCCCTCGCCGTAGGCCCGAAAGAGTCAAACCCCGAAGCCCGAAACTGCAAGTCCGCCCCTAAGCTTCTAAGCTTCTAAGCCCTAAACCCTAAACCCTAAACCCTAAACCCTAAATCCTAAACCCTAAACCCTAAACCCTAAATCCTAAACCCCGAACACTCTTGCCTTCCCCCCCCTTCCCTTCCCGAGATTAAGCCATTTGCACCCACTTTACAACCCGACATGGCATTTTCATTTATTGGGCGTTCTCGAAAGGCTTGCAGGCAGGTTGTAAAATGGGGTTCTGGTTATAAAATGGGGTACCACCCCCCCCGCCCCCCCCGGCCCACCCGCGTGCCCTCAAGCCTCAAGCCTAAACCCTAACACCCTGAGCCCTAAGCCCTAAGCCCTAAGCCCTAAACCCTAAACCCTAAACCCTAAACCCTAAACCCTAAACCCTAAACCCTAAACCCTAAACCCTAAACCCTAAACCCTAAACCCTAAACCCTAAACCCTAAACCCTAAACCCTAAGCCCTACCCTCAAACACCGAGGCGGCCCCACGAGCCGACGCCAAGCTTCGTCGGCGCACCCTCGGACCCGAGGACCTTTCCAACCCTTGACTTTGAACTCTAAAGCCTCAAGGGTTTAGGGTTTAGGGTTTAGGGTTTAGGGCTTAGGGCTTAGGGTTTAGGGTTTAGGGTTTAGGGTTTAGGGTTTAGGGTTTAGGGTTTGGGGGGGATGTTGCCCCTTACACTAACAGTCCTTCATATAGGATTAGAATAGGGGGGTACTATAAGCCCTATTAAGGACTGTCAGCATAAGGGGGAACATCCCCACTGAAGCCCTCAACTCTAAACGATCACAGGGCCGGAGCCCTCTCAAGTCCGAAGCCCTCAACCCTCTACTTGAAGCCTAAAGCCTTGCCCTAAACCCTAAACCCTAAACCCTAAACCCTGAACATTGATTCCTAAAGTGTCAAGCTAAGGGCTTCAGGTTTTTTTGGGTTCGGGCCTCTGTTTGTACGGGGGCTCCAGCACTGGAGATGTTTGGATGCTATGGGCCCTTATTGTGGTCTCTGTTCTCGCATATTCCTTATAGTTTAACCCAAACCCTAAACCCTAAACCCTAAACCCTAATTCCTAGATACGCCCCAAACCCTAACTCAGGGTACCCAGAATTAGGATGAACCCCTCGGTATGGGATGGAGGATGAAGCGGCCGAGGCTGTCAGGAGCTTAGAGAGCAAGTCTGGAGACCGTTTGGGGGGGGTGGGGGGGGGGGGGGGGGGGGGGGGGGTGGGGGTCCGTGCGATTGGCCAGAGCATCCATGCCCGCACGATGACCCAGCTTGTTTTTGGTAATACGCACTCTCGCGCGCCCTGCATTTCTGTTTTTTTTTTGGGGGGGGGGGGAGGGCTTGGGAACGTCCATTCTTGGTAGCATCCATGTCTGTCGGTGCATCCTCTGCCCTTTTCAGTTAATTACTGCTAATGTTGGCATTCCGCCTGGTGCCGACGTCTTCAGCAAATTCCCACAGACCCTGAAAACCGAAGAGAGGGCAGGCAAAAGGTTGCAGCTTTCGGATGTTGGCCTTTTCTTTTAGGGCCTGTGCTTTGGTTACGTATTCTGAGGTTTGGGGTCCGACACATGCAAGCCCCAAGAAGTACCCTGAAAAATACACGTAAAAAGTGCTGTACACAACTTTTGTGTTTTCGTGACTTTAGAAGTAGGCTCCCGCTTAGGCGAAACACTCAAAATCGATAAAAAGAGCCCGCCCGTCGAGGAATCTGTGCTGTTTCTTCCTGGCTCCCTAAACCGGACCCAAGACCTAGGTGTTGTGCACATTTCAGCTTGAGCAGGTCCCAATGCATGCCAAAAAACGCAGGGCAAACCAGAATGCGTGTTACCTTGTTTTTGTTGGCCTCGCCACACTGCTTCTTTTGCTGGGGAGCCCGAAGGGGATCGGTGCCCACTACGTGGAAAACATGTTCTTCCGAAGCTGTTCTTGTCGGTGGTTTTCCTGAAGTCTTTCCGAGTGCTGTAATGTCGACTAATGAACCGTATGGGCTGCCTATACACAAGTTCGCTTGTTTCGGAAAACGCGAACTTCGAAAATGACACTTTCCAAGCCTGCGTAAGTGCCGGAAGCACTGTAAATACCGAGTAAAACGCAATTTTTCCAGTCTGCTCACAAATCCTCCGCGGCAAGACGTCCGGGCACAGCGTTAGGGTTGGGGTTTAGGGTTTAGGGTTTAGGGTCTAGGGTTTAGGGTTTGGGGTTTGGGGTTGGGGTTTGGGGTTTGGGTTTGGGGGTTGGGGTTTAGTGTGGGGGTGTACCTGTTGGATGCGGGCCACAAATTGAGGATGCACCCAAAACCGGACTGGGGCCGTTTACGCACTGAGAACCCCGAACATACTTGCCCGCTTCATAATGCGAATGACAAGTCTCCAACGCAAACCTAGGCCCTAGGCTCGAATTTTTTAAGCACCAAACCTTGAAGATTCTGCCTCAGGATCCAAGGCTCGAAGCCCCCAAACCCTGAACACCAAACCCTTTTATGGTCTACTTGTGTTTTTGGGTTTAGAGTTAAGCTTTAGGTACTCGCCGGTTTCTTTGGTAGTTGATGTTAGGACGAGTGCCCTTTCTTCCTTTACTTTAGGATCTTGTATGGCCTCATTAAACGAAAAGGGTGCCCTGCTAAGTTGCTTCGTATGGGCTTCAGGACTTAAGGAGGCTTAGTGGTTCAGCGTTTACTCTAAGGAGCCCAAAGAAACCTTCTTCTTTGTAGGGCACCTAAGAATATTCGACGTGTGTGAGCCGACGGGGCTGTTGTGGGTTCAGGTTTCACGGTTTTTTCCAGGTTTGCAGTGATTAGGGGGGTTCAGGGTTCAGGGATTACGCTTCCAGGTTTGCCAGGTTTTGGGATCAGGGTTGAAGGTTCAGGTTTTCGGGCGCTGGAGTGTTTTTGACCCATTTCCTTCTAGCGACGAAAGGGTCGGTCGCACGAGGAACTGGTTTAGGGTTTTGGCCGAGGGCTCAGGGTTTGGAGCCTCGTATCCTTGCCGAAGGCTACTGTGTTTTGGGTCGAGGGATCATTCCGAGGAGCGCGGACCCGCGCAGGGTTTCAGATTTAAAGCTCAGGGTTCGTGATGTGGGGGGTCGATCTACATGCGGCTCCATGGGCCCTTTTTTGATGAGCCCTTTGCAGGTACCTTGAACCAAAAGGAGTCTACCGCTGCGCCAGAAAGGGGCCCATAATTTGCATCAGCCCCCCCTAGACCCTAGACCCTAAACCCTAAACCCTAAACCCTAAACCCTAAACCCTAAACCCTAAACCCTAAACCTCCAAGCCTAGAACCCCTAAACGCTCCAAATAGGGTTCCGTGTCCGCCAAGGGTACCGCCGAGCGCGGATGGCAGCGCGACAGGCAGGGTTCAGGGTTCAGGGTTCAGGGTTTAGGGTTTAGGGTCTAGGGTCTAGGGTTCAGGGTTTAGAGTTTAGGGTTTAGGGTTTAGGGTCTAGGGTTTCGGGTTTAGGGTTTAGGGTTATAATCGGTTTTCGGGTCTACCAATGGGGTGGAGGGTTATTTGGGTTTGTACCGAAACCCGAAAGCATCCCAAGCAGTTCCAAAGCCCCAGTAGGAGCACTAGGGCCTAAACCATATGAGCCCAAAACTTGTTCCCAACTCCCCCAAATCCCTGACGCCTGAACCCCAAATCCCTACACTTAAACCCCCGAAAGTCCGAAAACCCCCCAAAGCCCCCAAAGCCCCAAAACCTCTTCAACCATTAAATCCAAAGTTGTACCCCAAGCCGAAGCCTCACCAGGGCCCCAGGAGGGTGCTGTGCCGACGCAAGCCAAGGCGGGAGATTCTTACAGTCTGGTGTGCCAAAAGTGGCTGTGATTGCCACATGGGGGTCTGTGAAGGTTTGATAGGGTCAGGCTTTTGTGATGCCTTCATGAGCATTCCTCTCAGGGCCTTAGGCTTGGCAGGGTTTACCCGTGGGGTTTAGGCTTGTCTCTCCATGTTGCACGCGGCAGTAGCCTAACGCCGAAAAAAACCCAAACCCTCTAGATTGGGATGTTCCCCCCTACACTAACAGTCCTTAGTAGGGATTGCATAGTACGCCGATTACAAGCATCCCAACCTAGAGACCCTAAACCCTAACCCCTAAACCCTAAACCCTAAACCCTATACCCTATACCCTATACCCTAAACCCTATACCCTATGCCCTAAAACCCTGAACCCTGAACCCTCTAGAGACCTTAAACCCGAGACGTTTTGGGTCCAGGTGCCAAGCGGAAGCGGGACCAACGGTGTGCGACACGCGCCTCTTCTGACAAGATACTCATGTGGGTTTAGGGTGTAGGGTTTAGGGCGTTTAGGGTTTAAGGTATAAGGGTCCTCACTCCGGTTTCTGGGTTTAGGGTTCAGAAGGGTCCCTGTTTTCCTCCCCGGGAGCCCTTCACAAAAGCCGTGGACCCTAACTTGCGCCACAACCGCCAGTTCACTCTCCTCCACTGATGCCCCCTCAATCGCTAAACTCCAACATCCCAAACCCCCGCCCCCTCGATACCCTTAAGCCCCTGAAGCCCCCTACACACCCCTGAAAGCCCCAAACCGCCTGAACCCGAAACAGACACCCTAAAATCCCAGCCCTGAAATTCCCCCAAAGCCTTAAAACTCCCTGCAGAAACCCTAGACCGTAAACCCTAAACCCTAAGCCCTAGACCCGAAACCGTAAACCCTAAAACCCTAAGCCCGAAACCTTAAACCCTAAAACCCTAAAACCCAAACCCTAAACCCTAAACCCTAAACCCTAAACCCTAAACCCTAAACCCTAAACCCTAAACCCTAAACCCTAAACCCTAAACCCTAAACCCTAAACCCTAACCCTAAACCCTAAACCCCAAGTTCTAAACCCCAAACCCTAAACCCAACCCTTGCGGACCCAAAAGGCGCCCCACGGTGCGGTGCCCCTGGTGTCTTCAGCGCCAGGCCTGTGGCATGCGTCTTCGGGCTTGGGGTTTAGGATGTAGTGTTTAGGGTTTGGTGTTTAGGATTTAGGGTTTAGGGTTTGGGGTTTAGGATTTAGGGTTTAGGGTTTGGGGTTTAGGATTTAGGGTTTAGGGTTTGGGGTTTAGGATTTAGGGTGTAGGGTTTGGGGTTAGGTTTCAGGGTTAATGATTTAGGGTTTGGGGTTTGGGGTTTGGGGTTTAGGGTCTAAAGTTTGGGGTTTAGGGTTAGGGTCCAAGGCTCCCCTTGCCGCTTCGGTCGATTTTAGGCTCCCCTACAAAATCCCGAATGAGGGCCGCTGAATCCCGAAATCCCTCAACCCTAAACCCTAAACCCTCAACACCAACTGCTCGAATGAGCACAAGCGAGCACTCAAGCCCGAGCCCGTGAAGGCCCGATCATCCCGGTAGCCCAAAGCCTAGCAAGCCTGAACCCTAAACCCTAAACCCTAAACCCTAAACCCTAAACCCTAAACCCTAAACCCTAAACCCTAAACCCTAAACCCTAAACCCTAAACCCTAAACCCTAAACCCTAAACCCTAAACCCTAAACCCTAAACCCAAATAAACCCTAAACCCTAAACCCTAAACCCTAAACCCTAAACCCTAAACCCTAAACCCTAAACCCTAAACCCTAAACCCTAAACCCTAAACCCTAAACCCTAAACCCTAAACCCTAAACCCTAAACCCTAAACCCTAACCCTTGTGGCTTGGGGTTTAGGGTTGGCTTTAGGGCTTAGTGTACTCAAGAAGCCTCTGAACCCTAAACGCCTAAAGTCCCGAAACCCCAAGCCCTACGCCCCTAAACCCCTAGAAGCCCCCTTCGCCCTACCCCAGAATACCTAAAGTTGAGGGTTTAGAGCCTAAACCCTAAACCCTAAACCCTAAACCCTAAACCCTAAACCCGAAACCCTAAACCCTAAACCCTAAGCCCAAAACCTCAAACCCTGAAGCCTCAGAGCTCGCAAGCGAAGAAGCCTTGTTTTCCAGGGGCGGAAGCTAGGATTCCGGAGCCGCCGAAGCCACCGAGTGACCCGGCCGAGCCGTTTCTTGGGTTTTTTGTCGGGTTAAGGTTAGGGTTAGAGTTAGGGTAAGGTTTGGGGTTGGGGTTGGGGGGGGGTCTTGGGCCGTTTTGGGTTTGTTGTTTGGGGGTTTAGGCTTTGGCGTGGGTTTGGCGGGTTTAGGGTTGAGGGTTTAGGGCTTTTTGGTAGAGATCTGGTTTGAGGGGCCTTGCGGATCTAAGGATTTTGACTTGCACGGTTGAGGGGTCTATGAGGCTTGGGCCTCAGGCTTAGGGTTTGAGGTTTCTTGAGGTGTAGGGTTCATTCCCCAGCCTCTGTCATACGCATGCATGCCCCACATTCTTTGCGTTCCCGGCGTGCCATGCAGCAGATAAGACAGTCGACTATCCTGTTGCAGGGCCCAACTTGCCCCTGAGTTGCGTTTTAGGGTCTAGGGTTTAGGGTTTAGGGTTTAGGGTTTAGGGTTTAGGGTTTAGGGTTTAGGGTTTAGGGTTTAGGGTTTAGGGCTCGACCACGGCCGGCGAACCAAAACCCCGTGAGAGTGCTGGGGTTGAGGGTCTAGGGTTGGGTTTCGGGTGTAGGGTGAACTCTAAACCCGAAACACTGAACCCTAAACCCCCATATGCACTGAAAGGCCTCGAGATCTTGGCCCTTTTGCACCCTCAGCCTTCGCAGGTCGCGAGATCCGGTGCATCTGCGGAGTTAATGAGATGATCACACCCAACAGCTGCCACCCCAGCTGAGGGAGGGTTTAGGGTTTAGGGTTTAGGGTTTAGGGTTTAGGGTTTAGGGTTTAGGGTTTAGGGTTTAGGGTTTAGGGTTGCATGCCAGGGTTCAGGGCGAACTCCACGGTCGGTCTGGGGTGCAGGGCTTCAGGTATCGATGTCTAGGGAGTCGAGTTCGGTGACGCCTGCCTACCTACTGTTTGCTTAACAGCCCTAAACCCTAAACCCTAAACCCTAAATCCTAAACCCTAAGCCCTAAACCCTAAACCCTAAACCCTAAACACTAAACCCTAAACCCTACATCTTAACGAACGTTCTTCTTCATGGGGGAAATGCAGGGGTTATTATCTTGCAGGCTACTGACCCGGGAGCCCTCGTGCAAACCTGAAACCTTCAAAACCACCGAAGGAGCCCTGCAGGCCCCCCAAGCCCTAAACCCGAAACCCTAAACCCTAAACCCTAAACCCTAAACCCTAAACCCTAAACCCTAAACCCTAAACCCTAAACCCTAAACCCTAAACCCTAAACCCTAAACCGCCCCCTCCAGCCTTAAACCCAGGCCCCAAGTGATGCAAAAACTAGAGTACTTGGTGGTCAACCTCCAATGCATGCAAGAGCCTAGGCCCCCTCATCCAAATTTAGGTCTACAGGGCTTCGGGGTTTTGGGGATTTTTGGGTCATTTAGGTGGTTCAGGGGGGGTCGGGCTTGTAGGGCTTGTTGTTGAGGATCTAGGGTCTGGGGCAAGAAGTGCGCTGCTGGAGTTACCCGTTCTTGAAGGCTCAGAGCAACGAACCCCAAACCCTGAACCCACCGTTTAGGGTTTAGGGTTTAGGGTTTAGGGTTTGGGGGTTACTCCGAAACCTCGAGCCCAAAGCTCCGTCTCTGCGTGCGAACGCCTCGAGGCCCGATTAGCGGTCTGGTTGTGTGCAGGGCTTGCAATTGCGACCTGGCCTGTTTAGGGTTTAGGGTTTAGGGTTGAGGGTTGAGGGTTTCGGGTTTAGGGTTTAGGGTTTAGGGTTCAGGGGTTGGTGGATTTCATGGGGGGATGTGCGGGGTGTAAGGTTCGGGGTTTAGGGTTGTGGCTTTGCGGCTTGCAGGGCTTCTAGGCCATGGTCTTTCTTGGGATTGGACACAAGGCTTAGGGGGTTGGGGTTTAGGGTTTAGGGTTTAGGGTTTAGGGTTTAGGGTTTAGGGTTTAGGGTTTAGGGTTTAGGGTTTAGGGTTTAGGGTTTCGGGTTTAGGGTTTAGCCATCCTCCGAAGCATCGAAAAGGCCTGATACGATGCACGCGTTGTTTCGTACAGGGCACACAATTTGGTTCCGGGGTCCCTAGGTCGAGGGCTTCCCTAAGAGTGCGAAAAGCATATTTTGGCTTTAGGGTTTAGGGTTTAGGGTTTAGGGTTTAGGGTTTAGGGTTTCCGCGCTTTCGTTGACAGCGTCTTATCCGTCCGAGGTGGCGACCACAAGAGAAGCCACCACGTTCACAGATGGAACTCGGCCGTTTGGAACAACCCAAATCTCTGAACCGTAAATAAGTACCTTGAACCTAAAAGTCCTAAAACCCTAAAGCCCGAAAACCCTAAAGCCCTAAACCCTAAAACCTCAGAACGCATCTGGAGCCCTGCGCGCGGCCAGGTTCACTTCATCAAAACTGTGCCGGCCTCAGACGTCTACAATTTTCAAGGACCCCCTAAAAGGAACCCCCCTCAGGGTCTCGGGTTTAGGGTTTGGGGTTTAGGGCTTGCAGGGTCATAGGGTCTATGGGGTCTATGCCGTTCATAGGGTGGATTAATTTTGATCTGCAAAGTCCAGCATGGAGCTTCGAGGCACCAGAAAACCGAGACCCAAACCCTAAACCCTAAGCCCTAAGCCCTAAGCCCTTAGCCCTGAGCCCTAAACCCTAAGCCTAAACCCAAAATTAGGGTACCTTGAACCCAAAACCCCACACCCCAAAGCCTCCATCCATCTCCTCCTTGCCCAGCTTCTGCAGGTGTGAAGGGAACACTCAATAGTACACCGCCTGCGGCCCGGAGTGACCTGAGAGACATGCACACCGTGGTGTGTGGAGGTTGGTGCTTGTCTGAGAGAACTCGGTTTAGGGTTTAGGGTTTAGGGTTTAGGCTCTTCAGAATCCCCGCGCCAAGGCCGTCGCAGTTCGTGTGTCCTCCATGCCGGTTAGAGCGCGTGGATGAGCTCTTCCGGCCTGCTTGAAGAGCCCTGACAGCCGGACCGACTACGGAATACAAGAGAGCCCAACAAGGCTAAATTTTCTCCCTTTGTAATAATTAATAGGGTTTAGGGTTTAGGGTCAATCACGACCATAAGCTCCTGTACAGGCCGTCTAGGAGCTGCAGAAGCTTCTAGCTTTAGCGGTTGAGGGATGTGAGGTCTACAGAATCGGTCTGAAGCTATTTTTGATGTATGGTATATTCTGTCATGAGTTACCTCTTTTATAGCTTGCATGTTATATATTATGGCCTATATATAACATACCACGTATTTCCTTGGTAGCCCAGTGGTACCCTTTGCCTTTGTTTCTGTTATGGGTTCCCTTATAAAATAACCTAGCCAAAAAAGGGTGCCCTTATTGTAATATGGCTACTGGGCTACCAAGTTTTTCGGGTGTAGGCGCTAGTTTCCGTCTGCCTCGAGAGGTCACACAAGAGGCACCTTCAACAAAGCACACATGCGCCCGAGCATGAATGATACTCAACCGAACTACTCAACTATTGAGGGGTTACCCTAAACCCTAAGCCCTGAACCCGAAAATCTGAACACACTTCAAAGCTGAAGACGAGCAAGCGCTTGCAGACTGTGGTCTCAAGGCTTGCGTGTGTGTGGCTTTTGGCACAGACATGCGTGGACAAATGATGTGAGCACCTCGTGGTAAGTATAGGGCGCCCACAGTTTCAGGAGCTTGGGCGGCTTGTGAAGGGCTTTTGGTTTTTCGGGTTTTTGGAGATTCAGAGGCTTTGGAGAAGAGTTTGGGACTCCTCAGCCCTAAGCCCTAAGCCCTAAACCCTAAACCCTAAACCCTAAACCCTAAACCTTGCCACCCCCAGCCTGGCCAGGTTTCACCCCACAGTTGGCGCGGGCTTGCTGAAGCACAGCTACGCGACTTGTTCTACCACGCCGGGGGTCCGAGCTCTGGGTGTAGGGTTTAGGGTTTAGGGCTTAGGGTTTGCGGGGGTTGGGTCTTAGGGTTTGTTTATAAGGATTAGGGATCAGGGTTTCTCCCACTCACGCCGGGGCCCGACGTCTGGGAGGGGGTTGGAGGTTTCGAGGTTAGGTTGGCTGCTTTTTGAATAATCAAACTGCAAAGCGGCACCACTAAGGGAGTATACCAGCATGTCGGACTCGAACACGCCCACAGGGCCTACCGAAGCCCCCCAGCTCCTGCTGCCCTCAAGGCCCTGCAGGAGGTTTCCTAAGCCTAAAATTGAGGGTTTAGGGTTTAGGGTTTTAGGTTTCGGGTTTTGGGTTTAAGGGGCTGTCAGTCAAGTTTCTTGGAGGGCATACCCTAGGACCGCAAGACCAATACAGCACGCTGTACAGTCAAAGGCGGGTTCAGCACCTCCACTTGGCACCTCCATCAGCAGCTTACACTCGAGTTCTGAGCTCCCTATTCCCCCCATCAAATCGTTTAGGGTTTAGGGTTTAGGGTTTAGGGTTTAGGGTTGAGGGTTTAGTGTTCAGTGTTGAGGGTTTAGGGTTTCGGGTTTGGGCTTGCTTTCGGCACGGTCCGGTTCAGTACTGCACTGCACGGTCCGGTTCGGTACTGCGGTCCCAGGCCAACCTCCCCTCCACCCCTTCCAGCCACCCTTCGCCCAGCCACCACCTCCACTCCTTCCCCACCAAGCACCCCCAAGCACCCCGGCCCTGCCCCCCACTCACCACCCCCCCTCCACGCCACCAAATCCAGCCACCCACCTCCACCCCTCCGGCCACCCGCTCCAAGCCACCTCCCAGCCAATTTTCCAGCCACCACCCACCCCTCCACAGCCACCCCCTCCAGCCACCCACGCCGTCCAGCCACCCACACCCTCCAGACGCCACCCCTCCAGCCACCACCCCCCTCCAGCCACCCACCCTCCAGCCACGCACCCCCTCCATCTCCAGCCACCACACCCTCCAGCCGCCATCCTGCAGGCATCACACCAGCCATGCACACTCTACAGCGCTCCGACCACCCAACACTTAAAACCCCGTGGGTGGCTGCAGGGGGTTGTGGCTGGAGGTTGGAGGGGGTGGCTGGAGGTGGTGGCTGGAGGTGGTGGCTGGAGGTGGTGGCTGGCTGGAGGCTTGGTGGCTGGAGGGAGTGGTGGCTGGAGGGTGGGTGGAAGGGGTGGGTGGGGTTTACGGTTCGGTGCGGTACGGTAAGCCTCCTGCACGGTTCGGTGCGGTACGGTAAGCTTCCTGCACGGTTCGGTGCAGTACGGTAACGGTTCGGTGCGGTACGGCGGAATTGTATTGTTGAAACGCCCATGTTCATGCTTACAGCGCAATATCTTTGAAAGGTTTTCTGTTCGTGGGGGAGGATTCTAAACGGACCCTAAACCCCATAATTTAGGGGCCGGAGTCATATTCCAATAGTACTCCCCTATGTGTGCCTATATGCTTGTACCATTACAACCCCCAAAACCCTATTCCAATTATTGCGGCTCCCTATATCAAGCCCTGAGCCGTTCTGGGGTTCAGGGTTATATTGGTTGGTGCTCTCTTTAAGTAGCGTTTCTGTTTTGTAGGGGGGTGCTTATTAGGGTATCCCGGGGCTGTATTAAGGCATAAGATAAAGAGGCCACCGGCCTTTTTAAGTTCAGGGTGTACTGTGTAGGGTGTCGGAAGCCGGTCGCCAGCATGCAGGTTCTCTTTGACGTTCACGGCGCAGGCCGGCCCCGCATGCAGGCTGAGGGAGAAGATCTACTGAGAAAAGCCCTAAACCCTAAACCCAAAACCCAAAAACCTAAAGCCTAAACCCTACAGACATCTAAAAGAGGTCATTGGGGTTGCAAAAAAAATCCTGCAGACCCCAAGCCACTGACAAAATCGAAGAAAACCCTCAACCGTAGACTCGAAACCTTCAACCCAACAGTCCCAAAACCCACATCCCTGGCCTCCGTAAGCCCTAATTAAGCCCTAAGTCCACAAACTCGAAATTCCTCAGGCGACCCAGTGGAAGAGGCAGTGCTGGGCCGTCCATCTGCGCGCGCGGGTCTTGGAGATAGCCAGCTCTCTAGGTCTAGGGTTGAGAGTTTAGGGTCTAGGGACTAGGGGCCTCCGAAAGCCAGATTTGCTTTTTGAATCGACATTTTACAACCGGGGTCCCGCATTGTTGCAAAACCACATCAATCATGTTTTGGGGCCATAAAGCCTAGGTTTTACGGCTTGTGCTCCAGGGTTAGGGCCATTAGCAGCATGGAGTTTTTACCACTAAACTTTATTCAGAAAACCCTGAAACCGAAACCCTAAGCCCTAAACCCAAAACCCTTCCTGGGCTTGTCATTCTAGGATCTCAGTCCGACGAGACTTCGGCCAGAATCATAGATTTCGTCATCTGCCCAAGCCTGGAACGCCGTAAACCCTAAACCCTAAACCCTAAACCCTAAACCCTAAACCCTAAACCCTAAACCCTAAACCCTAAACCCTAAACCCTAAACCCTAAACCCTAAACCCTAAACCCTAAACCCCCCACACAAAAGCCCCGCACAAGTCCGCTGTTTCGCCGAGTCCGTTCACGTTCAAGGGGGCGATCTGAGCGGTCCGGCCTGGCCCCACAAAGTTCAGGCCGAGCTGTATGGGGTTTGGGGAGATTTAGGGTTTAGGGTTTAGGGTTTAGGGTTTAGGGCTTCCGGGTGCTTCGGGTTTACAGTAGAGTTTGGGGAATTAGGAGCGGTTTTGGCGCTCCCAAGGTTTTAGGGCTTGGCGCTTGAGGGATTGGGGGTATTTCGGGGCTTTTTATCCTTTGAACCCTGAATCCGAAGATGCTAAACCTGCCCTAGAGAGGCCCAAATTCTAAGCCCTAAACCGCAGGGTTCAAGGGCCTCCCTAACCCCGCATTGCGCAGGGCAAGCTCAACGGACGACAATGCGTGGCGATCGACCCACCCAAGCATCTTCACGCAACCTGCCTCAATCACTTGGCGCTGCGTTCTGCCCAAGACCTCAAACCCCCAAGTTGCCCCCGAGACCCCAAACCCCAAACCCTAAACCTCAAGCCAGCCCTCAAGCCACTAAGCCCAAAACCCTACAGGGCTCTTGCATCTCGGGGGGGGGAGCGCTTGGGGGGGCGTGAAGGTCGGGCTTGGGATGGAAAGCTGTCATTTTTTGGGTTTCGGGTTTAGGGGGTGTAGGGTTTGGGGGGTTGTGGTTTGGGTTGTGGTTTGGGGGCTTAGGTGTTTGGGTTCAGGGCTCTGCTTGCGCATGGCTTCTTCCAAGATCCAGGATCATTTTATGGGTTTGGGGTTTAGAGTTTCGGGGTTATCCTGCAAAACCTCTGCAGGACCTTCTCCTGGCAAGAAAAAGGAATCTGTGGGGGGTCCGGTGGGTGCATTCTCCTGAGATTGTTTTTGTTGATTTTAGGGTTTGGGGTTAGGGATCTGCAGTGGAAGCAAGCAGCAAGGAACTTCAACAACACCCCCTAAACCCTAAACCCTAAACCCAAACCTCAACCTTAAACCCTTTGAGCCTAAACCCCAGGACCCTAAACTCCGAAATCGCCAAACCCCCGAAAGCAAGAGCGTTGAGCCGAAGGGCAGGGGGGTTTGGGGGTTTAGGGCCTAGGATTGGGTTGTAGGGTTTATAGGGTTTTCGGGTTTAGAGCTGCATGAAGAACCCCCCAAACCTTCATGCTGTCGATCCCCCGCAAGATTATGACACTCCCCAGTCCCCTGCCCGCGAAGCACAGACTCTATGAGCACCTGCCAACGTATAATCCCGAAAGCCAAACCCTATGAACCTCTAAACCCTAAATACCCTTCAACCCCAGAAACGCCATAAACCCTACCAACCCTGAACACCCTATCAACCCCCTGAACGCTTTTAACCATATGAAGTGGGGTATATATTTCCTGTACCCCCCAAAAGGACAGCCGGTATATACACTCACCAATATTAAAAAGGGAACCTTATTCGCACTCACCAACACCAGTTATCTAAACCCTAAACCCTAAACCCTAAACCCTAAACCCTAAACCCTAAACCCTAAACCCTAAACCCTAAACCCTAAACCCTAAACCCTAAACCCTAAACTTCATATGAATCCTGAGCCCTGGCCTGAACTCACTGGGCAGCTGCCCAAGGTCAGACGGGAGCAGTGCTACAACTTGACACCCTTGTTGAAGCAGGGCCCTGCCGGCACCTCTTGTGAACTTCGCGCCCCTCAGCCCTAGGCCCCTGAACCCTAAACCCTAAACCCTAAACCCTAAGCCCTATACCCTAAAAACTAAAAACCCTAAACCCTAAACCCGAAACCCTAAACCCCAAACCCTAAACCCTAAACCCTAATTCTTCTCCCTCAGGGGGGGCCTGGGCCTCGTAGCTTGGGTTTAAAGGCTTCAGAGAGCGCAGGGCGGAGGGGTGCAATGCTAGAGCTGGGAGCGCCAATCCCCCTTGAAAGCCCCCAAAGCCCGTAAACTCTGCAGAGAGCACGCGCACGCATACGCACGCGCACGCGCGCACGCGCACGCGCACACGCAAACCCGCACACCCGCACACACGCACACGCACATACGCACACCCGCACGCACACCCGCACATCCGCACACCCGCACACCCGCACACCCGCACACCCGCACACCCGCACACCCGCACATCCGCACACCCGCACACCCGCACACGCGCACACGCGCACACGCGCACCCGCGCACCCGCGCACACGCGCACCCGCGCACGCGCACGCACACGCGCACGCCCACGCCCACGCCCGCGCCCACGCCCACGTCCACGTCCACGCCCACGCCCACGCCCATGCCCACGCACACGCGCACGCACACGCACACGCACACCCACACACATAGAGAGAGACAGAGAGAAGTCCTAAACCCTAACCCCTAAGCCCAAACCTTTAGCCCTAAACCTTTTCAGGGTTTTAGGTATAGGGTTCCTTCAGGGCTGTAGGGGCCAGGGGTACGGCAATTGTTAGGAGCTTGTGGATCCAGGACCCTAAGCCCAAACCTTCAACCTTGCACCTTCCCTGACCACCAAACTCCCTAAACCCTAAGCCCTAAGCCCTAAACCCTAAACCCTAAACCCTAAACCCTAAACCCTACACCCTAAACACTAAACCCTAAACCCTAAACCTTATAAACCCTAAACCCTAAACCCTAAACCCGAATCAAGCAAGCGGCAGCCTGCCAGGCTTAAACACGCTCGAGTTGCGATTCTTCTCGAAGCCTGACAAGCCCAAAGATGAAGCGGAGGCAGGGGGTTTACGGTTTAGGGCTTAGGGTTATATAAGGGTTTACGGTTTAGGGTTTAGGGTTTTCGTAAGGGCCGTTGAACAAGCTTTGGTGTTGGCTTTGGCTTTATGGCTTCAAGGTTCCGGGTTTTAGGGCTCAGGGGTTTGGGGGTTTGCTGCAATGTGGCGCAGATGCTGTGAAGTTTAGGATGCCGAAGAGGTTCAAAGCTTCGTCAGGTGCCAAGAGCAGCTCTGGTCCGATTGTGGAGGGCCATCTAACTCCTTTCTCCCACTCCAGGAGGTCCAGGGCGGCTGTTGAGTCAATTGCCTACCGTAGAAGGCTCAAAAAGCGATTTTTTGAGCACCCTTGGCCCATAGGCCTTGAGTTTAGGGGTTTCGGGGTTTAGTTGTTTAGTGGGGGTGTGGTTGGGGGGGGGGAAGGGGTTCTAACCCTGAAGCCCTACAAAGTGTCAAAGCCCCGGGGCTCTTCATACCCCAAGCCCCTACTGCTCCGTTCTGAGTTGCTAAAGGTTAGAGGTCCCGAGTCCTATATCCCCCTTAGGAGTTTTTTTATTTTTGTTTATACAAAACCCAGGAGGATATTAAAAGATATTATTTTATTAAGGTTCTAAGGGGAGTATAGAGTCCGTGTGAGCCTTCTATGCTGCGGCTTCATCGCGTCTGTCGCAAATTTAGCTCTATTCGAGGTGAGTTTTGGGTAGCATCGTTTCTGTTCAGGGGTTATTGTCGAGGAGTTGCTAGGGTTTAGGGTTTAGGGTTTAGGGTTTAGGGTTTAGGGTTTAAGGTTTAGGGTTTAGGGTTTAGGGTTTAGGGGTGTTCGTGGGGAGCTACAAACGCCCTTGCCTGTTGGGGTCTGTGTCTTTCCTTTTCGGGAAGACGTCTTGGATATACAAAGGCTCTAAGACTTAGGGCTTCCCAGGGTTTAGGGTTTAGGGTTTAGGGTTTAGGGTTTAGGCTTTAGGGTTTAGGCTTTAGGGTTCAGGTTTAGGGTTTAGGGTTTAGGGTAACTCCTCCTGATCTGGCCAGGACAACTACTGCGTCGGCGTGGTGCTGACTCGTCCTAGGCTGGGTTTCATGAGCAGTGCTGGGAAGAAGCACGTAAAGCGGGACCCAGTCAGAGCCTTAATCCCCTTTTGGGTTTAGACCCTAAACCCTAAACCCTCCTTCGATCTTAAATTTCTGGGCAACCCTGAACGTAGACCCCAACCATTCCAAACCCGCAACCCCAAGCCATAAACGCACCCCAGGCCAAAGGCTGAAAACTACCCTTGCGTCAGACCTCTTGCTTTGCGTCTCACACCTGCAGCGTGGCTCAAAGACAAGCATCAGCTTCTCAGGATTCAGGTTTTAGGGTTTAGGGTTCAGGGTTTAAGGCCTGCCGGTCCGTTTCGTCGAGCTACGGTGGCCTGCTTCCTCGGCCCGTGGACCCACCATGGCCTTCTACAAAGAGGGCTCCCAGCTATTCGAGGCCGTTGGGCGGTGAAATCGCTGGAAAGTCTGGGGCTTAGGGGTTTTTGAGCGACTCTCATCCTTTCAGGGCCATGTCCTGTGGGTTTAGGGTTGAGGGTTGAGGGTTTTGGGTTTAAGGTTTCGGGTTTAGGGTTTAGGGCTTAGGGTTGAGTACCATCGGGGGAAATGTGGCCCGCAAGCCTATATAGGGCCATGCATAGCCAGGAGTTGGCTGGCGATCGTCTCCCTCAATGTGCTGTGCAGCATTGCTTGGCCGACCAGCTCCTAGACCCCAAGCCCTATAAGCCCTAAAGCCCTAAGCCCTAAGCCCTAAACTCTAAACTCTAAACCCTCAACCACCGGGACTTGGGTTCCGTCTCCTCCCTGACAGGAATGGCTCAAGCTCGCTGGGGACGGCGTGACCCCTGTGTCAGTTCCGCCCCTGAGCAAAGACGACGCTCTGATCGTCATCGCCGCCTGCCGCACTACTTGGGGCTTGGGGGGCCTACAGACCTACAGACCCTAAGCCCTAAACCCTAAACCCCAAACCCCAAACCCCTAAACCTTACATCCGAAAGCCGAAATCCTACATTCAAAAAAGCCTCGGAGGCTGTTGGGGCGAAGGCCTCAGGCAATGCTGAAGGCGGTTTTAGGGTCTTTTTTGGTTCAGGTTTAATTAGAAGGTTTATGGTTTTAGGGTCTTTTTTGGTTCAGTTTAACCAGAAGGTTCCTTCTTTTAGGGTCTTTTTTGGTTCAGGTTTAATTAGAAGGTTTAAGGTTTAGGCCTCCCCCCGAGCTCGTCGTTGCGGCTGTGCCAAGGACATGCAAGCCGACTTCGTGCCAAAAGACTCCTTGAAGCTGGCTTTCATATAGACTTGAGGGCATCGGGGTTTTGCGGTTTAGGTATCATGGTTTGGGGTTTAGGGTTTGAGTTTTCTTGGGGTGGGGTTTGCGGTTTAGGGGGGCTGTTGGGAGTTCTTGGCCTCCTGAACCCTTAACCCTCAACCCTTGACCCTGGACCATAAATCCTAAACCCAAAGCATGACATGATGCAGGCACCCTCCGCCTGAAGGGGGTAGTGGCAAAAGGCTTAAGGGTTCAGTTGCCAAAAGACCATTGGGTTCAGGGTTCGAGTTTAGGGCTTAGGGCTTAGGGCTTAGGGCGAAGGGCGAAGGGCGAAGGGCTCAGCGCTTTAATCGATGGCGCAGGGGGTCTAGAGCCGCCACGTGATGCGACCGGAACCCCAAAAATCTGAGCCCTAAGCCCCACTATGAGTCGCTCCGAGGGATAAACGCACAAACCTACAAGCCCTATGGGGGAAAGAAGACCCCCAAATAGTGGCATTTCCTTAGAATAAGGACACCGGTCAGGTACCCTAATGTCGGAAGCCCCCCTATAAGCCCGGCACAATGAGCCCTCAACCCTAATGAGACTCCATCCGGTAAGCCCTGAAAATCCTAGACACGGGAGCCCTCAACCATTAACAGGCCTTAAACGATCAGGGGTGGCCCACAGCCCCACACACCCCAAGACCCCTAAAGCCCCCCCAACTCAGCCCTCCCCACACACACCCAACCTCCGGCCCCCCAACCTCCGCAAACCCAAAACCCCTAAACCCCTAAACCCCTAAACCCCTAAACCCCTAAACCCCTAAACCCCTAAACCCCTAAACCCCTAAACCCCTAAACCCCTAACCCCCTAAACCCCTAAAACCCCTAAACCCCTAAACCCCTAAACCCCTAAACCCCTAAACCCCTAAACCCCTAAACCCCTAAACCCCTAAACCCTAAACCCTAAACCCCTAAGCCCCCAACCCCTAAGCCCCCAAACCTAAACCCTGAACCCTAAACCCTAAACCCCTAAACCCCTAAACCCTAAACCTCAAAACCCCTAAATCTTAAACCCCTAACCCCTAACCCCCTAACCCCCTAACCCCCTAACCCCCTAAACCCCTAAACCCCCTAAACCCCTAAACCCTAAAAACCCCTAAACCCTAAACCCTAAACCCTAAACCCTAAACCCTAAAACCTAAACCCTAAACCCTTAACCCTAAATCCCTAAACCCCTAAACCCCTAAACCCCTAAACCCCTAAACCCCTAAACCCTAAAACCCTAAACCCCTAAACCCCTAAAACCCTAAACCCTAAACCCTAAACCCTAAACCTAGGAGCAATCCATATGGGGGCCGCTTCGGGGTGGCAGAGGGCGCCAACGTCATCCCACTCATCAACAGCCTGGTCGCCGCCTTGCCCTTTAGGGTTTAGGGTTTAGGGTTTAGGGTTTAGGGTTTAGGGTTTAGGGTTTAGGGTTTAGGGTTTAGGGTTTAGGGTTTAGGGTTTAGGGTTTAGGGTTTAGGGTTTAGGGTTTAGGGTTTAGGATTTAGGGCTATTTGGGCTTCAGAGTTTGCTGTTAGGATGCTGTGGGGGTTTAGGGACTTAGGGTTTTAAGGACTTTAGGGCTTTCGGGATGGTTTTCGGTTGTTTCGTCCAGGGATTTTTGAGATTTATGGGGATTTAGAGTTTGCGGGGGGGATGTGGGGATCTAGGGTCCAGAGTGGACTTCGGTTGGGGGCACCTCTTCGTGTACGAAAGGTACCTACAAGAGGAACATGGTTTTAGTGGCTGAGCTTTTTTTATGTGATCTGCCGCCAAGTGGTACAAGCTAGGTTTTAGAACCCTGACATAGTAATTTTCAGGCCAAATGAAATTCGTGGGCCCCGAAAATTCGTTGGCGGAGAAATTGAAATCAGCTGTGCGGAGAACATTAACTCTTGTGTGTCTTCATGTCTTGGGATTCGCTGGGTGGGTGGGCATTTTAATTTTCCTGGATCGAGGCACCAAGCTGCTGAACCCTAAACATCTCAACCCTAAACCCTAGATCCCAAAATGAGGCTGATGTGCTAATGCCGGTATCCCTGAGCCACTTCGGGGCTTAATTGGGGACTTAGGGCTCAGGGGTTCTGTGTTTGCGGGCTCATAGGTTTCAGGGGTTCGGGTGTGGGGTGCTTGTGTAGCTGAAGCCCGTTGTGCCAGGAATGCACAGGTGGCTACACGAGGCTTTGACGGTCTAAGGAGAGGGAGAGAAACAGACAACGCCGTGCGTTTAGGGTTCTAAACCCTATACTCTACACCCCAAGCACCAGACCAGAAAAAGGAATCATGACTCATTGCAACCTCAGCCACGAAACCCTTGAACCCAACCAAATCCTGAACCTCCTTGGCGAACTGATCATCGGAAGGCTTAGGAAGCAGGCTACCGGGTTGAACATGGTGCGTCGTGACAGAATTCTTTCAGATTGGTGTAAACAGGGTGAGCGTGGGACGTCACTTGCCTTTCTCTGTGTGTGCAGACGCCATTTCTTCTGTCCTAGAAACGGCACATGGCTTGCGGAGCTTTCCGTTTTGCAAGTTTTCGGGCGTTGTTCGTCAACTGTTCCTCTAGGCCCCAGGGTTGACAGTCAAGCACTGCGCCCTGTTTGCTCAGGGGCCTAAGACAACCCTAAACCCTAACCGCTATGTTGCCCCTGTCAACCGAAGGGACTGCGCTTTTGCGCTCGGACACGACCTCTTTTGGTTGCGCTTCCTTCAGTTCAGGGGATTTGCCATGGTTGCGATTCGGTTCCGGAGTCTGTTCCCTGCAAGGATGTGCTTTCTTGGGGCTTTGGTTGCTGGCGGCTCATGCAGCGACGCCCTCCCCACCCCGGCACTTAACTCAAATTTAAATCATCCCAGGCATCCACGGAATCTTGTATGTAATGTCGAAAGTCCTTGGTTCTTCAGTAGCATACGGCTGGCGGCGGCTTGGCTGAGTAGCGCTCGGGCGGTTGTGGTGGTGGGCAGGAGTAAGCTTGCAAAGCAGGCCATCTGAGTCAAGAACCCGTGCTGGCCCGACGAATTAGGCTGGAGGGCCTGAGGCTATAGGATTTTGGGGCTTGGGAGGACTCCACGCGTATACTTTAAAAACAAATGCATTGTGTCGGTGGCGTAACAGAGAGCGTCAAGTCTAGTGCTGGAGTGTTTGGGAGTGTTCCGGCTTTCGAAGCTGGTGGCGCAGGTGGTTTTGTCCATATCCTCCTTGGGAATTATCTTGCATGTTTGTTTTTGCAAAACCGAAGAGGATATTAAATACATTATTTTTACTAAAACCCAAGAGGATATTACACATATTATTCTTATTAAGGTTCTAAGGGGAGTCTAGTTGGCTTGCGACGCCTGGAACCCAATGTGCTGGCCAAGGACAGCGCGGTCAGTGCTGGAGCGACTATCTGTGCCACCCGCGAGCCTTCGCAGCGCTTGGATGCCACCACCCCCCACCCGCCCAAGAATCCTAGGTAGGATAAGGGGGACCCTTAAAAGGGAATCATCCTATCCCCTAAAGAAAAGGAATTCAGAACTCAAAGGCCTACAGGTTCCAGTATCCCGACTTGAGCAGAATCTTAGGTGTTGAGCAGGCACCTTTGTGCGTAAGTGGCACATCATTTGACATATTATCGTTATTGCTCACGAAGCCTTGAGTCTTGAACGACACTAGCAGAACGAACCTAGGCTCCGCGGAATAGATCGACATCCCAGAACCCCCAAACTGTGCAGTCAGAGTTTGGTTTCTGGGTGGTGGT